ATGAGCCAACCAAAACCACATTGATACAGTTTTATACTTTTTTATCAAGTTACAAGTACTACAGAATACAAAATACCCTTTTTAACACCAAAACTCTTCTAGGAGATACACAGAGTTATATACAGTGCAGGGCTGCACTGCACCCCCAAGCTGAGAACTGGGAGAAGAAAATCCAGACTGAGATTCCTGGGAGATTGGTGTAGCTTCTGCCAGCCAGAACAATCCTTGGTCTGAACACAGAGCTGTGGATCCCAGGAACCTGGGACGACATCAATATCCTCCTGGGACCTTTCATTGAAAGCAGATTTCCACAGAGAATTAATGAAATACAGAAAATTAAATGGAAATGGAAAGGAGCAGCTCCCCCAGCCCATCAGGCTGCAGCATCCAAAAGAAAATGAACAAAGATTATGGATGGGGACCATCACCAATCCCAAATCCCTGGTGTGGAATACCATGCTGCTTTGGTTTGTAATCACTTCTCTTAGTGGACAAACCCTTCAGCTCTGCTTCCAATTCACCGAATTCCCAACTGTGGCCACCGAGATTCTGCTGCACTGTGTCCATGGCAGGATCCAGGAAAACACACAGGGTATGGTCCCATGGGAATGCTGCCCAGGAAGCACATGGACCTCATCTGTGCCTGCAGCCCAGAGGGAGATCTCTTCCCAACAGCTCCGGTTGTGCTCCGTGTGTCCCACGGTTCCCACGCTGACACACCACAGCTTCCTCCCCCTGCTGCCTTGGGGAGTAAACCCGAGGTGCCATCAGCAAAGGAGCCTCTTATGGACACAGAGTCTGGGCATTCAGGGCAAGAAAAGGAGTTTTCAGTCTTTAGACTGATCCAGCAGCTGGGCCTGGCGGTCACTGTTAAAGCCACCTTGTCCAGGGCATTGCTGCCAGGGGCCATTTCTGTAAAATCACGGGGAAAGGGCTGACCCTTGGAGCTCCTGGAGTTAGCCAGGAGCTTTGCCAAAGGACTGGGAAAAAAACTCACATCCCCAGCAGAGATAAAAACGGGGAAAATGCAACCCATGGTGATGAAAAGGGAATGGAATGACTGGAACCATTTGAAATGGACAAGAGGAAATGGTCTCACGTGATCCCAGGGGAGGTTTAGGCTGGATATTGGGAAGTCTCATAGTGGAAAGGCTGTCCAGCCCTGGCACAGCTGCTCAGGGCTGGAGGCCCCATCCCTGGGGGGATTTAAAGCTGTGTGGATGTGGCACTTGGGGACATGGGACAGTGGTGGCCTCAACAGGACTGGGGAACACCTGGGCACCGTGATCTCAGAGGGCTTCTCCAACCTGAAGGATTCCATGATTCCAAGGACACCCTATACACAGCCAGCACAGACACACCTCTGCCTGCTGCAAGCATCATTTCACTTCCTCTCCTTCACTTGGCCACCAGATATTCCCTGGCAGCAGAGAACAACAGGGAGCAGTACTTGCTGTGGGAGAAGCCAGCAGGATTAGACCAAATTCCCTTCAGAAAGAGCTGACAGGATCCAGCCAGTCCTGTTCCCAGCTGCTTGGGAAGCTCCCAGTCCCTTCAAGTAGCAAAAGAGAGGGAAATCCCCTTGTGCCAAGGGACAATGACATGAGAACTCTGGGGAGAGAGCAGTAGAGACAGGAGAGGAACGCCAACACCAGAGCTTTCCAAAGGGAACGCCTGCCAAATCAACCTCCAGGACCTGTGGAAAACATTTTCCAGCTGAGCTGAGTCCATCTACTCCTGTCTTCCACTCACAGACCTTTCAGACCTCCATGCCCAGGAGCCACTCTGGATGAAAGGGCCCCTCTGTGTCCATGGATGTGGCTTTTCCCTTGCCACCCCTGTGGTCGATGGGGAGCTAAAGGAGAAGGAATGAATGGGGAATAAAGTATCCATAAATACAGCAGATATGGTCCCATGCCTACACTGAGGTCATAACAAATAATATCCCAAGTTATTATGATTAAAGTCCCATTTATCTGGGAAAAGTAAGAGGAAAGGCTCCTGGTCCCCATCTCTGACTCCTTTTTGTAGTACCTGTCACCCTAGAGTGCCAGGACAAGGGGGAATCACTTCCCACTGACACAGGGCAGGGATAGATGGGATATTGGGAAGAAATTCTTCCCTATGAGGGTGCTGAGGCCCTAGCACAAGGTGCCCAGAGAAGCTGTGGCTGCCCCTGGATCCCTGGCAGTGTCCAAGGTCAGGATGAACAGGGCTTGGAGCAAGCTGGGATAGTGGAAGGTGTCTCTGCAGGGGGTGGAGCAGGATGAGCTTTTAGGGTCCCTTCCACCCCAAACCATTCCGGAATTCCACGGCTCTGGCTCTGGCTGGAGCCAGCAGCGCCTCCTGGGTTCCCCTGCCCGTGGTCTGGAGTTCCCCACCTGGGTCCCCTCAGGTGCCCAGTTCCAGCCCTTTGTTCCGTGCCCCTCAGGGCCCTGGACTTGTCATGGTCCTTGGCCAAAGCTGCCTCCCCAGCTCTTCCCCTAGGCAGATCCTGCTGTGCCAGCTTTTTCTGAGCCCCTGCCCTGAGCTGACACCCTTTGCTTTGCACCAGGGACCACCCCAGCGATTGTTCATGCTGGAATATCCCCCCACACTGGGTGTATGCCTGCAGGAAGCTGGGAAGTGCCTCGGTGCTGGGTTTTTGGAAGGATGATTGGGATTTAGCACCTACTGCAAGCACTTGAGGGACTGCATGCCAGTTTGTACAAAAATGCTAATTTGTGCCCAGGCTTGTCTAAATATCCATCCTGCAGAATTCCAGGGCTTCTCTACTACCATTCTGTTTAACTGGAACCTCTGGGATTCGGAAGGCTCCCAAGGAAAGCTGGAGGTTTGCAGGGAGAGCAGAGTTCATCTAATCCCACTTGATCCTCAAAGGCATGGGAGCTGGAGACCCAGAGCAGTGGAGTTGGGGCTGGCAGGTCTCTGCTGGTTGCTCCTGGTGATTCATCCCTGTCTCCTGTAGCTGAGAGCAGGCAGGGGATGGACACGGGGTTGGCAGGCAGCTGCTGCGCCCCTGCAGGATTTAATCAGCAACTCCAATCACCTCCTGCTCTTTGGGGTGTCCCGAGGTGCCCTCACAACCCAGAATAGACACCCAAGCTGGGTGGGAGCTACCATCCCATGGATCCCTGCCTTTTGGGGAGTCTGTTTCCAACCTCTGAGATCAAATGCATTTTTCTGTCCCTCGTTTGCAGACCCTGAACAACAAAGCTCCAGCTCTGGTGAGCATGAGGGGTCTGGAGCCACATTAGCACAGGAAATGGCAAAGGAAATGGTGGGAAACAAGGACACTGCACAGTCCACACGCAGGAGCAGAGGGAGAAGAGAGGCAGGGAGCAAGGGACTCCTCCCTGAGCAGGCATTTAATGCATCCTCTGGCTATCTTTCCAACTGATACCTGCTGTGCTCAAAGATAAGGTGGCCAAAAGCAAATCTCCTTCACTGGGTCAGTGCCGATGTCCTCTGACCTGAGGCAGCTCTGCTGATTCCAGTTCTGCTCTCTCTACCCCACCTGGGTTATTTTCCAGCCATCCACAAGCAGGGGTCACTTGTCCCATTCATAGGGACAGCACACAAGCCAGGCCCAGCAGCTCTGTGCTAGCAGTGGGATGCATTCAGCTCTGTTTCATGCCTGGATTGCCCACTCCTGTGCATCCTTCTGGGAAATGAAGCAGGCCCTGGGATACAGGCTCCCAGCCCTGCCCAATCCAGGCTCACTTTCACCTCAGTACCCCGGGTTTCTGTCCTCACGGCAAATCCTCAACTGCACCCCAGATGATACCCCAGTGTTTGTCAGGCGGCCCCAGAAGGCTGCAGAGGCATTCCCACAACCCAGCCAAAGGAAGAAAGGGAGGCAGAACCAGAAGAAAGGGCCAGCAGGGGCAGTGCAGCAGCCAGAACAAACGGGGAGCACGGGGTGGGGGCAAGGATGAATGCAGGGGGACACCTCAGCTCCTGGTCCAGCAGGGCTGGATAAATGCTGCGGCACAGCCACGGATCCAGGCCCAGTGGTTCCAGAGGTGCTGCTCCAGGGGCACCTCTGGTGGAGCACACGGAGCCTCCAGCACACAGAGGGAGTTTGCCTTTCCTGAACCCCTCATTTTCAGTAGCTCTGGTCTCAACACCCATTTCTGCCGTGCCTTCTGCACAGGCAGGCAGATGGAACCTTCCCAAAGGGAATGCTCTCACCAATGTGAGAGCCCCTTCTCTGCCCCTTCTTCAGGCAGAGGGAATGATGAGCCTCTGAGCAAGACCCTCGAGTGAGGCCGAGTTCATTGAGGGCTTCCAGAAAACCAAACAGGCTTTGAACCTCTTGGTGAGACACAGAGGAGTTTCCATTTGTCCTGGCTTAGGGCAAATTTGGGAGGAAAACTTCCAAAGGGGTCCCTCTAGAAAACAGACTTCCATGCAGGGACAGGGCTTTCCCCCATGTATCCCAGCAGTGAGTGTTCAGAGGGAAATCTGAACAGAAAACACTGCCAAGGGACAAAGGTGTGAATTCCAGGTTCTTCAGAATTCAGGACAAACCTTGTGTCATGCTGTCACACAAACTGCCCTGGGATTTCAGGGGCTGGGGGCTGCACCTTAGCTGGTCCATCAGCACATGCAGTCACAGAAGCCTGGGGATGGCTGTGAGTCACCTGAGCTGAGGCTCCAGCTTGGCTCAGTGGATGAACATAGAGTTCCATGGTTAAATGCTTTCCACTGTTGTTAACCGGAATCCAGAGCCTTGGCCAATTCCCACCATGGCTGAGGGCCCAGGGGCCTGAGCTAAAGCCCACAGGGGAAAGGGCCAGAGTGTGGTGCAGTCTGGGACACATAACCCAGCTCCCAAAATAACATAGCAAGGCTATGTGACATCTCTGAGGTACCAGAGCCCTTTGAGAGACACAAATCAAATCAAATCAACTGCCACAGTGAGTAACTCTCATAGTTCAAACTCTATACACTCAAGACACTTAGATTTTCCCCTTCCCTTTCTATTCTTGAGAAAGCATGCAAGGGAAAAAAAGCCCAGTTTTCTAGTGAGCCAGCTTTTCTAAAGACCTGGATAGGTGAAGTCATACTAGTTAGAATATACCAATTTAATGCAAAATTAGTTTTCTGCAGGTTTTTTATAAGCCAGTATCAATCCTGCTGCAGTGTTGATTATTCTGCTAGTTTAAAAAGCCAAAAAATCCCAATCCCCCACAGCTATGCAGGTTCTCTATGCAGCACACCAGAACTGTCTCCTATGTCCCACCAAACCCAGCCACACAAACAGAATACAGTGACAGCATCTCTTTAAAAATGGTTCTATCTCAATGAACTGTTTCAGCACTGAAAGGTCACCCTTCTCCAAACCCAGCTGTGTTTGTGACTCAGCAAAAATGTCACAGTTCTGTGTTTACTTCAGTTCCCCTTTCAGATTCCCTGCCTCTGCCATGGAATGCTGCAAATACTTGTGGCACTGATGTCTCAGCCTCCTTAGGCTCTTTTTTAATGGCTTGTTAAGTAACAGCCTCTGATTCTCAGCTCTCACAGCTGCCCCCATTTTACAACTCAAATAGTAAATAGTGGAAGATGAATGTGTTTTCAAAATTATTTTTATTCTGTTAAATGACTGAATTTATATGAAAATTAGAGTCAGATGAGTTTTGCACTGACAAGACTATTCAGACAGCTATACCCAAAGTGAGTTTACCAGACTGAATGTGGATCAGGGCCTCATTCACTGGTTAACAGTAAAGCAAGTAATTATAATTGTATAACCAACCCAAAAGCCTCACTTAGTCCAGTAAAAGCTGGGGGAAACAGAATAAACCAAGCCCATAAATACCATCAGCTGCTAAACTACTGAAGAGGAATTCCAAGTGAAATAATCTTGCCTCTTCCAGGTTTGTTCTCTTCTGTGCATGGTCAGGGGCTGTGATAAGGTCCCACTCCCATCAGGCCTGGTTTTTGTCCCCATTGCTTGATTTTTCCCAAGTGTTCTTTAACATCTGCCCCCTACCTTGCCCTGACAGCCATTCAGTGAGAAAAGCTTTGCAGTTGGCCCCAACCCTGCCTTTGGTTCACAGCTTCAAGGCCCTGTGGAGCCTGGCACCAACGCTGGGGCAGGTAATTCTCTCTCAGAGCCCATTTCTAGCACTGGGCAGGGCTTTTCCTCTTAATTGAAACCAGCTCACTCCTTCCCATCAGTCATTTTAAGGCCTGGTATTGTCCTTCACACTCATTGCAGCTCTTCTGACCAGCACCAGCACATTTCCATTATTACAGGCTCACCCTCCTAGGAGAGAAAAAAAGCTGCCACACAGCAAACAAAGGCTCTGAGTCAAATCCACCAGGACCTCCCCAGAGCTCTGGCTGATAAAGCTTTCAGCAGCTCCAGCCAGGACTTAATGTCTGGCGAACAAAATGTTCTGGAAAAACGTCATGCCTTCTATAAACACATTTTTCTGGCAGGTCTGCCCTGGTGTTTTAAAACCTGGAGAGGCTGACTCAGCCTGGCTTCTGCAGGAGCTAAGGGAACACCATGGGTTGAGGGGAAGGTGGAGGGAATGGAGTGTGGGGAGGAAAGAGAGAGGGGCAGAGCTGAGCCCTGCGAGGACCCTGCTGCTGCACGGAGACACTGCTCCTGCCCAGCTGCTCACACAAAGTTTATGTACACATTGCCCATGTCCTTCAGCCCATTTCTGGTGCCCAGGCAATTTTCCAACATGTCTTTTGTGGGCAGGGAGCTGTCAGTGCTGGTGACAAATTGCCGCAGCGCGTTCCTGCCCGACAGGTGGCATTTTTGCTCCTCCTTGGCAACGCTGTCCAGCAGGACTCCTCGGATGTCCTTGGGCTTCCCCGGCACACCGAACATGATGAACAAGCCCAGGCAGTCCCGTCCCACCAGGCGGCAGAACTCAGCCAGCTTCTCAAACCTGCTCATGTTCTGGAAGCACTCGTTGGCCAGCGCAGCCTCCCGGCAGCAATCCTCGGCAGGACCCTCGTCGTGGAAGAGCTCGGCCGGCTGCAAAGCCTGCACAGCGATCTGGAGCTTGATCTGCTTGTCAGACCCACACAGAGTCCAGATCCAGTCCACTCCAAACAGGAAGGACTGCTGCTTGGTCATTTTGCTGGTCATGATCTGCTCCTCCATGCCCTTTCCCATGCAGAAGCTGATGAAGTTGACCAGGAAGATCTCGCTCAGCGTGTTTGTGGCTGGCTGGAATTTGCTTTGAGGATCCACAAAACCGAGATAGTCTTCCAGCTTTCGAGATGCATGGAGCACACCCTGGCTGAAGACTTCACAGATGACCAGAGTTTCAGCCTTGTTCTCCTGGTTGTCCTCCTGGGAGACCTTCTGGCCCATTTTCTCTGCCGGAGGAGGTAGTTTCCACATGCAGATTGCCTCAGGGACAAACCTTTATTTTCCAGCAAAGGCTCTGCAGGTGCTGGGCTCAGCCAGACCTACTCAGCTGCACTTGGATACCTGCAGCCTTCCCGGTGAAGGTGATGGCAGAGCTGAGCTCTGTGTGCCTGTGGGGTTCAGCCAGGCTTTCTCCTGGGTGTGTTTCTCCACAGCTGACTGGGCAGGGACCAGCCCAACAGGCCCTGCAGCTTTCATACTTACTGAATACATCTGGTGCTTGTTTTCCTTATTGTTAATTCCGGCACCATTTCTTCGGCTGATGTTATCTCATTCCGGTCTGATCTTATTTCCTTGGATCGGATCTCCTTTCTAGGACTATTGCACAGAAACCATTTTTTTGGCACAGTGTGTTGCCTGGAGATCAAACCATCTTTTTTTTTAACCTCACAGAGAAAGGAGGTTAACACTTGGGACCAGAGAGAGTCTCTTCCACAGCAAGAAGGGACAGAGCACCCTGGAAGGGCTCCCTGTGGAGCTCACGTTGAGCAATGACGATGCCACTTCTCACCACACCAAACAACCCAAGACGGTTCAAATCTGGATCCCAAAAATAACTAAAAAGTCTTGATATAGTTGATTTCTTAGCTGTTAGTTGAGCCCTGCTACAGGCACTACTGACAAACAAATTAACAAGTCAACAAAAAAATGTTTGATTTTGCCCCTTTTCCCTCCTTGGTTTTGAATAGAACAGAACAAGCTTCTTTGGAAAGTTAATTGGAAAATAAAAAGGAAAAAAAACCCTAAAAACAGGACATGAGAAAGGGAACCAGCTTCCACAAAAACACTTGGCATTTTCCACAGACTTTATTGGATTTCACATGGCAATACACAGCAGTTACGTTTGCCCTCTCCAAACCAATTAAGCACCTCGACAGTATCGACAGTGTGCACACACGCACATAAAAACCTCCTGACTTCATCACCTCTCTCGTGTCCCCACCCCAGAACAGAACCAGGGTTCAGATCACAGCTCTGAGGGCATGACCTGGCATCAGGAAAGGGTTGTTTGGAGCAGAATGCTGCTTACACTGCACTGAAATGATCACTGCCCTCACTGGTAACACGCCAGAGAAACTGGAGAGTGTTTTTGGCTATTTCAGCACACAGAATTGTGTCACTAGCTCCTTTTTCCCCCCTGTGAATTCCCATTCCTTCCCAGTAGCCAGTAACTAGTGAGAGCCATCCAGAGGAACACTTGTTGGAAGCCTGCACCACAATTCCTAGTGCTTCCACAGGTTTTTACATTCAACTTCCATGTAAATAATAACAATATTGCAGAGTATTCACAGAAAGGGAGACCTGAATCCACATCCCAAGCATCAGCACCCTAAACCTGCCCACATTAAATTTTGCATCTTGGTACATCAATAATCACCTACACTGCACATCTTCAGAGGTCCAGGTTATCAGCTTACATCATTCTAATGCTGGAATATGCCTCTGATCTGAGGGGAGTTCCCTGGGAAGAACCTTTACTCCTTTCCTAGCTTTGTTAACAGTGTTTTATAAACACCCACAAAGTCAGCACGAACTCCAAATCCCCTGCATGACACCAGGAATGGTCTCATTTCCATCAAGGAGAGTGACAAAATGAGTGACAAATGCTTGGCAAAGCAACACCACCGCAAGGAACAGTTCCAGCTGGACTTTTGTTTTCCTTTACAGAGCAAAGCAGCTTCATGCCATTGTGCTAAGAGACATGCAATGTTCAACACCATACAAATGACCACTGGAAAAAAAGTTACTTTTGTTTGTTTGTTTGTTTGCTTTTGGCTAGGACACCTCACAGTACTGGGAGTCTGACACAAGATTCCCACTAGCTAGTTAAAAATTTTAAAACCTGATGATCCTCAAGAGCAGAGGAGCTGTGCTTTAAGAAGGTAAAATGATAAGCAACACATTTGATATTTCAGTTTTGGAGGAAAAGTCCCACCTTAGGCTTAATAATATGAAATAATATATTTCCTATACATTTCTCTATATAACTTTTATTTTTTTTGCAACTACACCATCTTCACGTTAGTCACAGCACAGAAATATCCCTTCCACACGGGGAGGGAGGGAGTACTCTCAACTTTAAAGAAATTTTTTAAGTCATGGAAGTGTTAATAACTTTATTGAATGCACTAACTACTGCTGCCAGGGACAAGAAAGAAGACATTTTAAAATGTGCAGTTTCTGGATGAGCCACTGCCAGAAGAAACATGCTTTAGAATTGTTTCATCTCAAAATGGAAGATCATTAAACTGTGCACTCAGTAAAAAGCAACGAAAGCAAACAGTTCCAAAGGTCAGCCTGCCTTTCCCAGTAACCAGCTGGTTTGCAAACTGGCATAATTTTTTTACAACCTGCTCTCTTTCCCTTGCACACCTTCAACTTTCCATCACTCTATCTCACAAAATTTAAATTTTTGCTTTTATATGTACCTCATATACTTCTTTTTTCTTTTTTCTTTTTTTTAATACAAAACAGTATAAAAATAGGAGCAACAGTCAAGAGCTACAGGGGAGCTTACACAGGGCACGGATCTCTAGAGTCCTACATTGGATAGGGCTGAACAGGTGCTTGTGCCAAAGAAAAGCACTTAGAAAAGAGCAGTAACTTCTATTTTTCAGCTGAGAGCGCAGAGAGAGCTGATGTGCTGTATCTACAGATGCAACACTTTCACCTAACATCTTCTGTTCTTTTCAAACAGTATAAAGGATTATCTGAGGCCACAAATAAGCAAAAGGAGCACTATCATACCACATCGATGTCAAGGCAACACTCTGAAACATACCACCAGTTTTTTACATTAAATAGAGTTAAAACAATTACCATTCACCAGTGTCTGGGTGGTTTTTATGGCAACTTAAGTAGGCACCTTGTTTTTTCTCCTTTTCTCTTTAAAATTCTCCACCCCTTGGTGTTACTTCCAACAAACAGAAGCAAGAGCAATGTAAAGTACATGATCTGCTGCCTGTCATGTGGAACAGGGATGTCCTTGCATGCAGGAGAACTGCCTTTGTCAGTGCCTGGTGGTGACTGTCACACGTTGGAGTCCTCATCTGTTATACTGGTGCTAGGAGAGCGAGTGGCAAAGTCTTTGAACATTTCATCTTCCTTCAGCATGTGCTGGAAAGGAAAGGAGGGAAGAGTCAAGGTTTCTCACAGCTGGAGTCACCTGTCCTGTGCTGGGCAGCAAACACTGCCTGCCAGCCACTGCTTTGTTCTGCTGAGGGAGGTCTTCACCCACCCTGCTGCAAAACCAGCTCACCACTGTCTGCTGGCCCCAGTGGCTCGAGGTTTCCACCCAGAAAATGCAGCCTGACTCCCAGCTGAAAACCCACTAACCATGGGCAATGTGGGCTGTGTCCCCTGCTCTCCACGGATTGTGGGGAGCCAGAACAGGCCACCAAGCCTCCCCACCAGGATGGGCCAGGTACCTTCCTGAAAAACATTTGGTTTTCTTGTGCCCTCTGTCCCTGCAGAAGACCCAAAGGACCTCACAGACCCCATTTAACATGAGCCAAGGGGCTCACGCCCATCCCACAGAAACAGAGACCTTATGGCACAGACCCCATTCACAGGCTTACTGTCAAGTTGTTGATGCCTTCAGAAAATGCTCCTATTTGCCTCACCGTCCCTTCTGAATCTTCCATCTATAAAAAACAGAGAATGAACCATGAATTAATAGCAACTTATTTGTATCACAGAGTGGAATCACAGAATGGGTGGGGTTGGAAGAGACCTGGGTCCAAATCATCTGGGTCCAATCCCCTGCCATGGGCAGGGACACCTTCCACTATCCCAGGTTGCTCCAAGCTGCATCCGGCCTGGCCTTGGACACTTCCAGGGATGGGGCAGCCAGAGCTTCTCTGGGCAACCTGTGCCAGGGCCTCAGCACCCTCACAGGGAAGAATATTTTCCTAATTTCCTAAACCTCCTAAGATCTAAACCCACTCTCTGTCGGTGTGAAGCCATTCCCCCTTGTCCTGCTACGACAGAGTGACAATTAAGCACAGCACACAATTTACTGATTACACACAATTTACTGATTACACCTGAGATGTTCAGAGCAAGGAAGAAGCATGGCCTGTCAGGAAAGGAGAATTACTCCAGAGCAGGCCCTAAAAAGGTGCTGCATTCACAGCTTCAACCTCCTTGGGAGCAGAGCCTTTTATCACTAATGCTGTGTGACAACAAGAATCCTTGGGAGCAGAGCCTTTTATCACTAATGCTGTGTGACAACAAGAAGTCAGGGCCTTCATGGGCCAAAGCAAAAGAAAGACTTCCCTGGGGAATGAAAGGTTTTCCCACCAAACCTGACAGCTCAAAGACTCAGAATTGTTAGAACTAGCTTACCTGCTCCAGCCTGTCCAAATCATCATCGTCGTATACTCGGATATCCAGGCCAGGCTTAAAGCCCTTCTTTGATCCACTCCCAGATGCTCGCCCCAGGTCCATAGGACACACATACTCCTCCACATCATCTTGCTTCTTCTTCCTCAGGCTCCCAAAATTGCTGAAGGTAAGTTTCTTTGGCTTGAAAGTGAAGAGAAATTTGCCAAGGAGTTAGAGAATCACCAAAGAATTAACTGGCCTACTCATGCCCTCTTGTGTTTCCATGACAAAGGGTCAAAACCCCAGTGCTCTCCTACACAAAACTGAATTTCATGACAGTGGCATCTGAAAGGACAATGTGTCCTCTCATTCTACCACTGTTAAGATACCACCATTTAACAGATCCCAACTGTGGTCAAAATTCCACATTAAACCATGAGTCTGTAAACAGTAAGGGACAGTCATCCCTCACTACAGACAGAATGGCGACATCTCCTGTTTGTGCATGTCAGAGAAGCTGAGAAGTGGCCTGTTCATGGTAGACATGAGTGTCAACCCCAGATCTGCCAAGGGTCTGCCCAGACCCCAGGTCCTGCTCTCATGCTTCTTTTTTTTAGGTACCAACCCCTTTTCTCAGATCTTACTGACATGCCTACCCAGCATGGATAAAACCAGAGACCCAAATGCCTCTCTGGAACCTCCCACCCCTCCCAGAACAAGTGGCCTACCTTGACTTTGGCAGTTGCTGTCAGGAGGACGTAGTCAGGGGACTCCATGGCTTCACGTTTCTGCTGCTGGGCCTCCTGCCCCACCAGGAGGTTGAAATGAGTGGCCAAGTGCCGCCTCAGCAGCGTCTTGTTGGGTGGGATGTTCAGCAGCTGGGCCATGGTTTCTACATTGAAACGGGGCTCCAAAACCTGGGAATCCAACCACAGAGAATCCAATCACACAGAATCCAGCTGAAGCCAGTACTGTCTGATGAGATGTCTGATGGATATCCAGGCCTATCTTGGTCACTCCCCTAAGGCTGTTTTGAGATTTTTGTTGGTATTTTAGAGGAAATATACAACAAGGAAGAAGGAAAGAGAGTTAACTTGTTAAAGGATTCCTAAAATACTACCTACCTTCAGGCTTTCCTTCTGGAGTTATAAATAGGAACAAATTGGCAGGTAAGAAGAAATTAACCTTAACTGAAGTACTGTGTGAAGCTGCCACAAAATGTTTACCCAGCATCATCTTCCAATTCTGGAAAAGGTAGCCAGAAGAATCATGGAAAATAAACAGACACAAAATGTCTGGAGCAGGGATACAACTCCTAATCACCACAACAAACCTCTGCAGGTGTAAGTCTTTTGTCTGGAGTATGTGATGCTAGAGCAATTAAAAACAATCCTGGTTTG